CCAGCATTTCCCTCTAGCCCAGGAGATGAATCACAGGCTTAATAATAAAGCCTTATTATAGCAATTTTTCTACCCTCAAAGTTTCCTCTCCTAGTACATGGATAGGGTAAAATGAACTGTTATCAACTGACAATGGTAACAAATTATCATTTGTATCAGATCACAATTTAAATTGAGATATTAAAATCTCTGCTCATGCACAGCATAATTTAGGGCCTGTTCCCACACACAGTTACATATGGAACAGCACTGCAGTGAGTAGTCTTAGTTTTTCCAGAAAGGTTATCCCTGTACATACTTACAAAAAACTTTTTACTTCTTCATAAGCTACTAATTCATTCTTGTTAATGTTAAAACCAGTGATGTCTCCAGCTCAATCTGCTCTCCCTCCAACCTTCTCATTTAACCTTCCCTCCTCTCAGCCTGCTGCTTCCACTGCCTGGTAGACATTAAAAATGTGGTATGGTAAGTGTAGTGTATTCCTACTAAAACAGACTTACAACTGGAGGTAACAAAGAATCCAATTAAATTTGCAATTGTAACACAAACCAGTGTAAATCCTTAGCAAGGCAAGTGACTTTGTTATAAAAAAGCAAAAGACAACTGCTCTGAATTGTGCTCTAAGAGCTGCACTCCTAAATCTCTCTTATCCCTCCCCTGTCCATCATTCCCTTGTTAACTCCAGCTCCGAGTCAGCTGCTGCCTGCCTGACATTCTTTGCCTATCAGGGGGCCGGCAGAGCTCACCTTCCTGGGGACAGCCACACCATTTTCAGCTCTTTGTTTTTCTATCAGCGCTTATCAGGAGCCACAAATAGAACTGGCCAGCCTTGCCGGGCAGATAGGACACACCAGCTGGACACTCGTGGCTCTCAACAGGGAGAGTCACAGCGAGGTGCATCTTATCGTGGGGGCACGGGAACACGTCTGTCCATAGAGGTTTCACCTGTCATCTCTGTCAGGAGGATGTTACTCTGTTCTGAAAAAGATTCCAGAGATGGATGGAGCACCAAACTACAGGGGACGACGACTGTCCGATCACATTACATGACACATGAGCATGTCCTGGGCTGGCTGATGCAGCACGGAGACTGAAGTCACCGTGTTCCTTCAGTGCAACAGCCACCACTGACATGCATGCCGAGCAGTCCTGGAGTGCCTAAGAGTCTCTGACATAACCTAGGGAAGCAGCACTACAGCATGATGTAAACACAAAGTTGAGAGCATGGATGGCATTAAAAAAAAAAAAAAAAAGGAAATACGTACAGAGCGAAGAACAGGATCACACTGAAACTCTATACAACTATACAACTACTGTGACAGCTTTATGAGGAAATGGATTTTTTCAGCATCTTCTAAGTCTATAGGCAAAAGTTTCAACACTTTCAGCAGGTATGAAAACAGTCAGACAAGTATGAGCTTGTTTGAGGCTTTCAAGCTGCAGATGTACGAGTTGAAGTCTCAAGAGCAAAGTTTAGTATACAAAAAAGAGACAATGAAGCCACCTGTAGATGCAGCTGATAAGTTCTGTCCCAGTATCAGCTGTTTTCTTTAGCTAACAACATACTGTATAAACCGAGGAGGGTCTAACTCCACCTCCTGTGGAGTCACAGTCATGTCAAATTAAAAACTCATCAGACGAAGAGGAAAAAAAACCCAAACACTTACTTGAACAGCTGTGTGCCACTTGTATGAAGCATATGGTCAGACAACATGCAATATAAGTAAATAACTATCTGGTTTAAACAAAAATTGCATTCACTTGAATAAGAGAGGCAAACAGTGCACAAGATCTGCAGCTCGGGTATAAGATTCAAAACAGGATTTGGAGCAACCTCCCATACACACCCCTTTCCTTTCTTTCATTGAAAGACAACTGAACTCTAAACAGACAACACTCCCTGGCAAACCCAACTAATAACACACAAACTGAATGAACAGCATGGGGAAAGTCTCTTACGATTCAGCACTGGCACTCTCAGTTCAAACTGGAATGTGCAGATACTACAACCAACAGAAGCCACACTGTGATCTAGCCTCTACTAAACAAGAAGTGAACACATAAACCTTTCACAAACTCAGATTTTCCTTAAAAAGTTAATTATACAAATCATAGTTTCACTTGCATGATATTTCTATACCTCTCCTTTCTCTGGTGATCTTCATGTAAACAGTCATGAGACAGATAATATTACAGAATATTAAAGCATCATTAGATGGAAATACTTCCACAAACAGAAGCCAAAATGAGTTTAGATATTGCTCTAGGGTAGGGGAAAAATTGTATCCTAGTAAATCCAACCAACAGAATAGTCAAAGCAAAAAAGCAGCGACTAAACCCCCCAAAATTGCAAGATTAATGTGGTGCATTCATCAGGACAACAATTCCAGAGCCCTATTTCGTCTCATCTGCCCCCTTGCTTCATCAGAGGTCCTAAGCACACTGTTTGCTGCCTGGTCTGAATTAGCATTCTCCTTCATGAGTCAAAGGGTCTCAGCTGGCCTGATGCTGAAAAATATCCTAATCCAGTGTCTTCTGTAAATTGAGTCAACTACTCACTTCAGGCAGAAACAAGAAAAGAAACAATTGCTGGCTTTGAACTGCTAAAGGATTATACAGCATCAAGTACTGCTTGAAATACAGCAACCGTGATAGAGAAAGAGATACACATTTCCCCAAGCATTTCAGAAATAGTGCAGATTGTGCTCCTCACTGCCTTCCACAATGGGTTGATGACATTCCAGTTTGGCACAGATGAAACATGTTAATATTGAGGAGAAAGTTAAGCATTTTTTGAGTTATTTAACGGTATTTAATTAAAAAACACAGGTAACAAACATAATTTCTTAGATTCTAGCCATTCATTTTTCAACATGCAAATAACTCAAGTGACTTTTAGTAACATAGGAAAACAACTATTTCTGTTTTCTGCTATATTCCATGTATTCAGGAAGCAGAAGAACAGAGAAATCAAACTAACTATACTATTCCACCCACGTTTATAACATGAAAAATATAACTGAAACCCAGGAACTGGGCTTGAGGCACTTCACAAAGTCTGGATCTGCAGTACACGTGCTAGATATGGATTTTCAGAAAAGGTAAGAGGTGTAATAGAAGTCAAAACCCACATAGTACAGATTGTGCTACTCTGTTTTAGTTGCTCAGTTACTCTGATTTGCTCCAGCCCCTTTCTCCATGTTTGCCACCAGCTCGGCCACATTCACCTGGAGCCCTTTCACTGTATCTCTCCTGTGCTGTGCTGGAACTGAATGCAGGAGGTGCTTCCCTTGTTCCACATGGGCCTGTGTATTTCTCCTTATTCTCACCTTTCATCCCACGTACTGTGGTTACCTAATTCAGCCAGCGCTGCGTTGTTGTTCATTAAACAGAAACTGTATGGAGGAGTCAGGATTGCCTCCTGCTCCAGAACAACCATCTTCAAAGGCCATGAATTCACAAAGCATAGTTCTACAATTATTTAACGCTTCATTAAACCTCTTTTTTTGTAAAAAAACACAGTGAGTCTTTGTTGTGGTCACAGAGGGCTCAGTGGTATGAGCTGGAGCTGCCGAGAGCCCTTCAGGTCCTCGCCCTGTGGAATGGGCCACTCTCCCCCCTTTCCCAAGGCAGCTCCACAGCCCAAAGCCTTAGAACCCTTTTGAAGAACTGGGGCTGACAGGAGGCAAAGCTCTTCCCATAACACAGCTGCCTTACACACACAACCAAATGGGGCTCCAAAACAGGCGACGCCTCCATAAAAGTGTGCATCCCAGAAAATCCTAGCCTATCGGAGAGGGAGGCCCAGAGACTCAAAAGCATGGAAGACCAAGCTTAATTCACTGTTTGGCAAATGTATGAAAACTGATTGTCCAGATAGAACTGCATGAAATAAATAAAACTGCAAATAAAATTAAAAAGAGCGAATGCTTCTTTTACTTCTTTTATTTCTTTCAGGTACAATTTTCTATTGTTTAGCTTGCACCCAGTGTACAGTAGAAAAGAACAAGAATGAATACATAAGTATTCAGAACAGTATGTGCTGGTCCAAGTCTTTGAGTCAGCAGTGCCCTGGCAGCCAGGAGGGCAACCACATCCTGGGGGACATCAGGCAAAGTATCAGCCGGTCAAGGGAGGTGATTGTCCTGCCCTGCTCTGCTCTGGGGTGGCCTCACCTTGAACATTGTGTTCAGTTTTGGTCACCACCATATAAGAAAGATATTAAGCTCTCAGAGAGCATCCAAAAGAGGGCAAAGAATACGGTGAAGGGCCTTGAGGGGAAGCTGTGTGAGGAGCAGCTGAGGGCATTTGGTCTGTTCAGCCTGGAGAAGAGACTGAGGGGAGACCTCATTGCAGTTGCAACTTCCTCGTGAGGGGAAGAGGAGGGGCAAGCACTGATCCCTTCTCTGTGGTTACCAGGGACAGGACCTGAGGGAATTGACCTGAAGTTGTATCAGGGGAGGTTTAGGTTGGGTATTAGAAACAGGTTCTTCACCCAGAGGGTGGCTGGGCACTGAACAGGCTCCCCAGGGCAGTGCTCACAGCACCAAGCCTGCCAGAGCTCAAGAAGCATTTGGACAATGCTCTAAGGAACATGTTGTGACTCTTGGGGATGGTCCTGTGCTGGGCTAAGAGCTGGACTCAGTAATCCTTGGGGGTCCCTTCCAACTCATGATATTCTGTGATTCTTTGACTTTCACTGGTAGCAAATTCATCCTCCCCACCCAATAGAACCAAATGTCTCATGTAATTCAATTAAACGGTAGATGTTTGCATAATGAGTTTGTTCTGTGCGGTGCCAATCACCTCGCTGCTTGTGCATGTGTGATTCAGCCATTCCACCTCCTTTCTTGACCCTCCTTACCCTCAAACCCTTCAGGTACTGAGCGAAGACAATGTCTGTGACTGGCAGATTGCAGGAAGCGCAGCCTCTCATCACTGGTTCAAGGTACCAGTGCATAAACAGACTCATTTCTAACAGATCAATATTCAGGTCTTACCTTTGCAGGTGAAACATTTGATGTGGAAGTGTCTGGCCTGAACACGGAGAACTTCACCTTTACATGGCTCCCCACATTTATGGCAGTGGATGACCGGCTTTTCAGAGGGGTGGTGAGGCTCCTGAGGGTGGGCCACTGTAAAACAAACAAACAATACTTTCAACCCAAACAAAAGAATATTTTTCTCCTGTGCATAACTCTGTGTTCTCAGACACTTTTCATCATGATACAAATGTATCTGGTCACATTTTAGGCTCATCTAAAAAGTCACCATCAGTTTATCTAAATACAGTCTTTTCATAAACCAGTTAGTTTAAGCCATTTACATCAACTACTACCTCTTTCCACTGAGGCTGCCATGGAAAGACGAGGAAAAACTCTCCCCACAGTTTCAGTGCCATAGAGCATTTCAGAATGCCTACAATTTTCTTTCCAAGAACATGAAGAAGGAACAAGAACTGAGCTAATTTAATCCAAGAAATAACATAATCTAACCAAAAAGGATTAAAGGAAAGCAATGCCAAATCAAGTTCTGGGAAACCAGATGAACCAGGCAGTCTATATGAAATGACTACACTAAACATAAACTACAAACATCTCCTTTTTGCTACAGCAGATACAATACCTAATACAGGGAAAGCACTCCTGAAGAGAAAAGAAGACAACATTATTTATTTCTACTCCTATTAATTCTAGCAGAAATTCCTCTCTGCATTCAAATTAGAGATACTGTGAGTAGGCAGAAATTACCAAAGTATATGCAATATAGTCAGGGAGACAATTCCAAGTAGTGGTAATCAGCCATCCAACTGCCCTTAGCAGAGCTTGGATAGGAACAGGAAAGGTTTGAGTATTTCATAATAATTGTCATAATAAAAGTTTAATTGCTCCACATTTGGCTACTGTAAAACACGTTTAACTTTCTCTTCAGATGTGTCTTCTGGCAGCTTGGGGCTCCAACAGAAATGCATGGGTGTAAACTAGAGCAAGATTTAATCTCAACTGTACCATTTGAAGTGGAAAGTATTACCCAGAATATTCCCAAACAAACCTATGTTCCTTCAATTCTCCCTCCCACATCCCATTCTAGTAGTAGAAAGTTTGCCTCCTTCTAACATTGTTCTCAAACTAGTGGTGCTCATCAGAACATCTCAGAGAAAACATATGTCTACCCACGCCTTTGTCTTTTACCATTCCTGTCCTACTTTTCCTGGCCTGCAAAGGACTGAGCGCTGATACAGCTACATCACTCTCACTGTCACTGAGAAGCATCTTCATTATTTTATTTTGGAGTTTTCTGGAGATCTCTTCCTTTCCTGATCAATTCCTGACATCGCCCCACCAGGACTATGCAGTTTTTCAGGTTGCTGCTTATGCAGCAATAAAAGAGATACCTGGCTCATTCCTCCCCTTCTTCAGTGAATTTCTAGCAATTTCTAAACCCATCACTTCATGAATTCCTTCTGTATTACTCTCCTATATAAATGCCTCAATGAAGAAATGCTGCTATCATTCTGTACATAAATACAAGATTAATAATAAAAAGCCTAATATGTGATTAGGGGAGAAACAGCATCAAGATCAAAGAATAACAAATATTCTAAGTAATTTCTGTTATAAGTCCAGCCAAACTAATATGGTAGCTGTTATTTTGTTCTTACCATCACCACCCACACCTCCCACCCCAAACTTCAAAGAAAATGAATGGCTGAATTCTTCTACTCATGCTCAAAGTTTTTAATACCCTCTCCTCTGGTAGCCTCATTTCAACTATTTCCCTTGAGCAGTTACTCAGCCCATCCTGGTGAACAGAATGCAGCTGGTAATGCCAACCAGTATTTCAATTAGGAGCTCCAGTGAAGAGCCCAGTGAATGCCTCACCTTGAGTGAACCTCATCTAACAGTCTGCAATGTGATACTATTTCTGGAGTGGAAGTTATTATTCTTCCAAACAAGACTATTAACTGGTAACCAAGGAAACACACAGATTATGCAATGAGAAAGAGAGAAAGAAAGAGAGAAGGAAAGGAAGAAAGGTAGAAAAGAAGAAAGAAGCATAGAGACAAGTGCTAGCAAGTTAAATTATAGTGAGGAAAATTCCCTCTCAGAACCAGATATCCTGAGATGGACTCAGTTGCTCAAAAGAGGAACTAGATCAAGAATCTGGGAAAATGTTCCTAGGATTTATATGGTGCAATGTGAAATCTGCATCAGCAACATTCTGCTCTCTTCAACTCAGATGTGGAGGGCACCCTAACAATTCTTCACACAAGGTTCCAGATCTTCTGGTATTGATCTGAAACACAAGCCTTTGCTCTTTATGAGAGTAAATAAATGTAAATAACACTGGTCCAATGATGCAGCTTCTTTCTAGTTCTGCCTTTAAAGCCATTTAAATGAATACAAATACTGTTAGTTGCTATTTCCAGGCTGATCTCTTAAGCGAAGCTAATTATGGTGCTTGTCTTACTGGCCTTAATTTGGCACTGTAGGTCAAAACTGAGTAATTGACTTTTGCCTTCCTGTAAGGAATTGCTTGTAAGCTTTTTCCTTTGGATATATGCAATACACACAAGGCTTTTCAGTGGCAGAGGTGACCTTTTATAGTTACCAGTGAGGACAGAACAGGGATTTGATGGAAAAGAAAATGAAATACCTTTACAAACAGCCTACTGAAATGTTTCTGACCGAAGTCGAGCCAGCTTACTGGACATGTCAATTGTGAACTGCCCTGGGTCTGAAAAGGTGAGCCAGGAGCTAGTTTCATTTCCTTCCATGGATTTCACATCTTGAGAGAGCAAATAATTCAGGCTCTGCCTGCACCAACCCTCCCCACATCAACTAAATGCTAGAGGATATGTTCTCAGGCATCATGCATCAGCAGCAATGATGCAGTAATGCAACTCTAGATCATCTCTAAGACAAGAATAGACTCCAGACAGTATAATTAGCAATAGGACATTAATTTAGGATCTGGATAATCCAGATTCCAACCCCTGCTCTACAACAGGTATCTGGGCACTTTGGATGACATCCTCTACCTCTAAAGGACTAAAGTCAGACTGTTAAGTTCGTCTAAGTCTCTGAGCCTGGGACCTACCAGTTTAAAATTAGGTTATTTGAATGTTTTGGTTATTCTGTGTTTCCAGTGTCTCTGACTGTAAACTGGGTGTAACAGCACTGTTAACCTCACCCTGCTGTGAGAATAAATACCATGACAAGGTTCCTGGGTGCTGAGATGGAAAGAGTTACATAAGCACCTAAGTCATTAAGTCAGACAATGGTCACATATGGTCACATCCATCGTTTTTCTGGAAGCAGCATTCCTTGGAAAGTGAGTGGACAAACACTAACTTAAGAAGCTGTGTTGCCTTCAATGAAGTTTCACATCCAAATGTATCATCACTATGACTATCTCCCAAGCTAAAAGAAATTAAAAGAACATAAGTTAACAACTTTCTGAGGGAGAAATGGTACCAGAGCAACAGGTCCTTGCTTCAGTACTGAGGGTGATGATTGTCTTCATATCATAAAGTGCATACTTACAGCAGGGGTCTGTAACATAAACACAAGCCAGGTATTTGCCAGTTCCAGTAAAACAGTGTGAGCTGATACTTGCAAATCATGTCAGATACTAGCTTGGCCCAACCAGTAAAACAAGGTGCATGGACCCTTTTGTTTAAGACTAAACACAGTGTATCTACCGACATTGCTCACATCAGCAAGGGGCAAACACCTACAAACACAATGGATGTAGTTCCAAACAAATGTCATTCCATCACAAGTACCTGGACTACTAACTGAACTGATTTGTTAAATTTGCTCTAGTTAAACAAACTAGTGCAGTGTCTTCACTTGAACAAAGGGATGCTGGAAACAGGCACACAGATCAATCAGATGTAACAATTTCTTTTAGTGTTTATTTTTATTCTTTCAACACTTTTCAATATGAATTTTTGAAAGCTCTAATACCTGTAGAAGTCAAAGCTGTCATAGTCTTTACAATTACAAGAGACCAACATCAAAACTTTGCCAAAGTTTCAGGTTGCTCTATAATAGTTTTAACTTCCAGTGCTGCTGGGCACAGCCTGAAGACTTTTGTTATTAATGAACAAAATTTCAGGTCAGGGATATACAAAGAAAAACTTTTCAAGACAAGACAGGTGAAGACTTCCACTCCTGCTTTCAAGACCAGTTTAAATGATTAAATAATTAATAATTAATGCTTTCTTAAATTCATTTAGGTTTCCAATAAGACAAATCAATGTCCCATTAAATATCCAATTTACGCAGAGTAACAGGTACACTGACTGGAACAACTGGGAAGTCTGGCTGACATAATTTAATTTGGGGGAAATAAAGAGAATATAAAAAAAATCAATAGCACCTTTATCTATGAGGAAAATAGTCTTTGTCACTGGAGTATTGCTTTGTGCTAACATCTCTCAGCATACATATCACCATGATTTTTGTCATTCCTTATGTTCCCTTGTGAATCATGCAATGTTGATTTCATTACATTTTGCAACAGCACTATATTGATGTAAATTCAAAGCAACTCTAACAGCTTGAGCATACTTGTTACTGCATTTTATCTAAACTTCTCAAAATAATCCCAGATCTGCAAAGAAACAATTAAAAAGGAGATAGAAAAGACTGTTAACAACCCAATGTTCATATGAGAAATCAAAGGCATTTTCTGAGCAAAGTGAAAGACTTTATTTGCTATGTAAAGTTTAAAACTGTCCTGTTGGGGAGTTTTATGTAGAGCAGATCATTGTATGAGGGTTTAATAGCAATTATGTGTTTTGTTGCATCAGCCAGAAACTTCACTTTTTGTACTGAACCTTTTAGGAATGAAAATTACAGCAACTACCTAAAGATACAAAGTTGTTGAATAAAGAAAACAATGAAAATAAATACTGCAGCTTTCTTTATTAATGATTCTCTCCCTGAACACAGAACTGCTAGAAATTAAAGACTCAAGCTAAGCTACTCTTAGCTGCAGATTCTTGCTGGCAAGATGCCATGTATCTGCTGCAAGCCAGAAAATACCTTGCTTTTATTGGAAGTCAGGAAGAAGCTTCTGGGAAACACCTTGCTATGCAAAAGCTGCAAGGCAGAGGTCACAGCTA